ACTGTACCCATATATATGTATACATACAAATAAATGTACATGTGCACGCTCATGCACACACATGTAACTTTAATTATTTCAAACCCTAGTTTTCATTATGGTTCTTAAATGCTTTAACCTCCCTTCTAGCCCATCCCCCCACCAGAGATAGTGGGAAAGAAAGGTTCTGATGGAGGTGGGGTGGGGAGCAACAAGCACAGCCAAAACCCCCTGAAATCCCTCGTGGTCCTGGCTCCTCCTACTGACTCACGCCAATTCAGCTAACGCCTAGCTGTTCCTGCTAGGTCATGCCACAGGTGCAGTTATCCAGCAACTGCTAAACTAGGTTACTGACATATCTGTTAAGTGTGTGCAAATGGCTCAGACTGCTGCTGCTGATTCTTATAAACTAAACTACTGATTTTCTAATAATGCAAATGGGATTTGCTCCAAAAAACAATTTCTAAACACGTTCACTTTCCCCCGTATCCTATTAATATTTCTTTTCTTCTATCTCGGATGGACGGTAAACAAACAAACAAACAAAAACAGTTAAAACATTTTGAAACCATTATGAAAAAATAGGTCTTAAAAATTCAAAGTCTACAAGCAGCATTGAAAAAAATCAAAATGGTAAAAGCAATAAATGTTCAAGTCTCTTCAAATGCTGATGACCTGACCACATTTGACTGCAGTCTGCTCTGAAGGCTCCCTACTCCACAGGAGTCATTTGGTGAAAGACTAGAATGGTATACAAGCTCGGACCTTGTTTGGTGATACATGGTGCTACCAAGACACTGACATTGATGAGTGTATTTATACCACAAACAATACAAACCAGAATCAACTCAGCCCCCACCCTGGCCCCTCTGCAATCTCTTCGCTAAGCATCTGCCCATGGCACAGACCCTAACTCTTTCTCACTCATTTTGATGACCTGCACATCAGCTTGGAAGAAGCAGTCACGCCTGCATAGAGACCAGTCAGCCTTGGGGGGTCGGAGGTTATAAGAACTGTGGTTTTGAGAGAGTCAGTGATTTGCCTCAGGACAGAACCGATCTAGTGTCATGTATAGAATACAACATTGGCCACTCTTGTTTTTCAAATGGCAGAAGCACGTAAAGATTGTCAAGCACAACCCTGACTCTCTGTTTCCCAGGTAAATAAACAGCGACCCAAAAGATGAGAAGTACTTGGAAGGTTCATACAGCCAGCCAAGCGTGGAAACAGCAGACAACCTTGCCTCTTGCCTCTTAGGCTGAAACTGAATATCTAGTGTCCATCATGTTCCTGATCATGTAAGTTTAAGCTAATGAATATTCTGAACTCTACTCAAGACTACTCCTGCTGGTAAAAGTTGATTACGCTTCTTGTCACCAAGAAGCCATCCCAAGAGCTGGAATGAAGGACTAGTTAGATTCTAGAGTTTCATTATGACCTGGATATGCCGGTGAGGATTGTGGAAAGATGGTGAGTTTTGAGAAAAAGCTGGCAGCTTCCCCAGCCCTAGCAACCAGGGACTCTCTTATCAGCCCCAGCTGCCGATGCCTCATTGAGGAACAATGTAGGAATTGGCTCACTGAGGGACCATGTAGGAATTGGCTCATTGAGGGACCATGTAGGAGTTGGCTCATTGAGGGACCATGTAGGAATTGGCTCATTGAGGGACCATGTAGGAATTGGCTCATTGAGGGACCATGTAGGAATTGGCTCATTTTGGTAAGATGAGAACTTCAAAAGATTTTCTGAGTTTGCCTCTGGAAAGGGAAGCTGGAGAAATAGGAGTAGGCTACAGAGATGCTAAACTCTAGCTCTGAAAAGGCTCCTGGGGTCATCACACTGCGAGTCACAGCTTCCTAAGCATGCTCACAAGTGTTTTCTCACCAGGTCTCATAGTAGGCCAAGGAGAGATGTTAGGGCCTCTGTTTCATGCCATTATGAGAAGGATGACAACAACAATAAATACTAGTCCTGGGCCAGGGATGAAAAATCACTGATGCTTGTTTTGATCATTTTGGTCCTCTCAAAGTCAGAAAAAAAAAAAAGATTTCAAAATCAGCACCCCCGATTTCCTATTCTTTACAACCATGAAAACACAGCTCAGCATGGTGGGCTAGGGTGGAAAACTAGAGCCTCTAAATCTTACATGAAAGCTGTAGACCCTATGAATTGCCTCAGGCTTCCTCTTCTACTCTATTATCTGGGACACTGCAAGAAGATCTGTCTATCTGCTGCTAAGATTTACCCAATTGGGGGATCAATAGTCAGAATTAGAGTGTGGATTTTCAAAGCCATGAGTCTTTGTATGACAGGACAAGGAACAGAGTTTTGACAGGCTAATAGGATGGTAATCGTGATAATCATGACAGGAAAAAAAAAAAAGAAAAGAAACCCTGTGAAAGGACACAGTGTCTCTGATAACAAATGTTACATCTTAACAAATTCTTCTCACTCTTCTGTCTACTGAGAGTGACTCATTCAGATGGGCAGCAGTCTGTGTGTCACAGCGCTTTCCTTCATTTCCAAGCAAGGAAGCTGACTTGTGGAGTTAGTAATAAACCACTTCTACAGACACTAATTTGCGTTCTTGGACATAACAGGATGCTGTGAGGATGGTTAATGTTTAACAACCAACTCTCCAGAAGAATAGAAGCAAAAGAGAGTAAAGCCAACACTATCTTACAAGTCTGTAAGAAAGTCATGCTGCTGAGCCCAAGTATCACCTCCATCCCGAATACCTTAACCTCTTGTGCGTACATTTATTGAGAAGGTTGCTAGTTACGTTCCTTATTTCTTTGATAAGATAGCTGGCACGAGCCAGTTAAAGGAAATAAAACATTTATGGGGAGTCATAGTGGAGGATTGTGGGGGTTGACTGGGAAAGTCGACCTGAAACATATTTGAATACACAGTCCCCAGTTGGTGAAACTCTTTGGAAAGGATTTGGTGTGGAGTTGTTGAAAGGAGTATGTCCCAGGAGAGGCAGGATGGGGTTCGGAATGTTGAGATTTCAAAAGCTCAAATCATTCCCAGTTTTTTCCCTTTCTTTTTGCCTTATACTTGTGGGACAGATGTAAGCTCTCAGCTACTGCTTTGGCACCAGGCTTGCCTGCCTGATGCCAAGCCTCTTGCTATGATGGTCATGGGCCCAGACTTCGAACTAAGAAGTCCCTATTAAATGTGTTCTTCTGTAAGTTGTCTTGGTCATGGTGTCCTTTGTAGCACAAAAGGTGTCTAAGACAAAGGCATAGTAAGGATGACAAAGAAGTCATTCAACAGGAATGGGAGTCACTTTGCATCTCCAGCCAGGAAACAGACAGACCAGTTTCAATGCTCAATACATTCTCTTTTTCAGATTGTCTAGGATTCGAGGCCTGGGATACTGTGGTGGTTTAAATGAGATGTTCCCATGACTTACTGACGACACCTAATGAGGAACATTTATGTATGAGAGAATATGTTCATATTATTTTCCTTCCTTTGGTATTGTCTATCATCTTTCATGAGTAGTTTATGCACATTAGAGATAGCTAGATCTTTTTCATGCCAACTTTTCTCTAAGTTCACCAGTACCCACCCCCAACTGCCTCCTGCTCTGTGTGCTTCAAGAAACTCCATTTGGTCTTCTTTGTGCTGGCCATCTAGCATGGTTGTAGGGCCATACATTGGAGCTTGACAACATGTCAGGCGTCACTCAGTTGAAGAAATCAGACTCTTTCTCCTCTATAAACAATCAATTGTCTACAGCAGATCAGTTAAGGGTAGAGAATCAAGAGACCACAGTGGACTGTTGCCTGAGTAAGTCTTATGCAGACAACAACAGCTGCTGTAAAGTATGAGTACAGAGTACTATAATGTCCAAAACTCATTGCTTTGCATTAATCCTCTCCAATCTCTGGCTAATACAGTCTTTCTGTCCCCTCTAAAATAGTCCTCCAGCTTTTGTCAGAAGGTGACAAAAATCTATCATTTGTGACTTAACACTCCACAGACACATCTCTATGCTTTGACTAGAAGTTTTTCTGTGTTAACCAGCAACCACTGCACAAAGAAACTCCTCTGAGGAGGTCTGGGAGCTGCACTTAGGTATTAGGAATAGAGAGCCAAGAGGACAGTTTCACATATGTCAGGTTAGCAAAATAACCATAGTAGGTTAACTACTGAGCCTATGAGCTCTCAGTCATCCAATTCTAAGATGACTGCCTACATCTCACTCCTCATACTCATTCCAATTGCGTTCTATAGACATCCATGACCCTATAACCAATCCACAGACCAGATTGCAGTAGTCAATAGTAACCCTTACCTGTTAGCCTTTTATCCCTCCAGATCAAGGAATATCAAAATGTCCTGCACAGTGATCTGTCCCCTGAAAGGCTTTCTCTTCAAGACTGTCTTCAGGTACATCCAAGACACACAAAACAGTGCTCAAGCTATTCACTTTCAGTGCAGTAGACACATCATACAGAATGATCTATAACCTGCATGAGTTTGTGCCTCCCCTCAATCCATCATAATGAACTCCCCATAAAGACCATAGGTTCTGACTATGGATAGGATGTAGCAGCAGCAAGCCACTTGGGCAACTTCCTCAAGCAATCTTCTTGTGTTTACATGGGCTATTAGAGTTAACTCTGTGTTCACACTGGCATTCTGTGCTGCACATGTCTGTGTACCTTTTTGTGACCTTTTATGATAAATAACACCTAGCTCATCATGGGCAATGATGACATGTGGTCATGTAATGCCTTCTGTTCCTTTAATACTACAATTCCTATGGTTAAGATGCCAAAACATTCTAAATTCCCCTACAATTCTATGTACCTCTATCATTGTCCTAGCTCCCATTTTTTTGAAATTGCGAAACGGATCCTAAGTTTCAATGGAAACTGCAAGCACCTCATAAGAGGTAAAAGAGTCTTGAAAAAAAGAAGATTGGAGTGCTCGTGATTGCAATCTCAAAGCCATAGCAACCAAAAAGGAATGACATCAGCAAAAGGTTTACATGGAATTTTTTTTTTGAACACTAAGCTCTTTACTTTGCTTACTACGTCTGATGTCACAGGAGAAACTGGACAGTAATGAAAGCCATTGAGCAAACGCAGAGACAGAAATCCCTCTGGCTCCTTCTTCCCTAGGTTCAGGAGACCTTGAGCTCTTCCCGAGTTTCGCTGAGGGGAGTGGATTCTGAAACTAGGGGTCTCTCTAGGTAGGCGGTTCCTGCACAGGGCTTTCCTGTGACTGGGTCGATAACTCCACCGACTTTGAAGATGATCTCAGCCAGTTCATGTTTCACATGCTTTGATCGTGGGACGGGCAAAGCTCTGAGGAGCACGATGTCCCCAACGCTGCATTGCTGAAGGGCATCGTGAGCAAAGTAGGTTTTCCGCTTATTAAAGTACTTCAGTAAGTAGGGATCCAACACGAGTCTGGTCGCTCTTACTTTAGCAGTTTTTACCATTGCTGTACCAGTCACCTTCCCCACAACCCATTTGGCGTGGACAGATGAACGGACTATTGACATTATGTGTCTGTGAGCACCTTTCTCCACTGTAGCCCTGACTTGACCTGCGGGTCCTAGTTATTTGTGGGGGCGAGGAGGACCACAACCTCTGAAGACTACCTCTCGGACCAAGGCTTTTACATGGAATCTAAAAGACTGAATCTAACACTCCAGACCTTGCCATAACACAAACAACAAAGATTTTGACAACCATGTTGGTTAAGCAGTTAAGAGTTGTAAGGCTTTATATTGATGGTCAGACCAAGAGCGGGCTTGAGCCTCTGAAGAACCTCTTGGTGTATAATTTTGGAAATACAGTTTTTAAAAGCAAAAACCACTGAGATAGATCACAGTTAGACAATGGTCAGAGTAACCTTGAATTCCTTGTTCCTGAAGAGAATTGTAGGCATTTTAGACATATCTTGACAATTGCTTTGGTCAATACATCTGGACTGTAGTCAAGGACATGAAAATCTCAGATGTGTGGGCAAGGTACATGTGATGGATGTAGAAAGAGAAGTAGAGGGTGAATGACTGGATAAACAAACACAAAATGGAGTCACAACAGGTTAGCATTATGTTACTCATGTCAACACAAGCTCTAATATGTATTGTCAACCAATTATAGTTAAGGATGTAAATTTCAGGCAATGAGACAAGTACTGTTGTCAACAGACAGTGATGAGGCAATGGATATCCACACACAAAAGGATGAAATTGGGCCCTGGCCACATACTCTGCAAAAAATTACAGCAAAATGGGTCAAAATGTAAATGAAACTTTTAAAATATAGGGGAAAAATTTTCAGGACCTTATATCAGGAAATGATATCTTGGGTATATTTAAAGAGAGAGAGATAAAAGTGGTTGAGTTGGATTTACCAAGGTGAGACCTTTAGGATACAGGGGACATTGTCCAGAAACAAAAATATCATCAGGTCTAGTGTCATAAGTGTATAGTCACAGTAACTGGGAGATGGAGACAGGAAGATCTGAAATTCAAGATTGTTTTTAGGTACATTGAAAATTCCAAGCCAGCATGGGATGTGTAAGACTTCTCTTAACATAAACCCAAAAATAAACAATAAGTCCTAACTATTAATGGATTGAATTCAGTTCCCCTCCCCCAAAACATGGCTAACGAAAAAAATCAGAAGGGAGACATCATTAGGAAAAGAATAGTTCAGGCCCTGAATCACAGAAGAATTTGCTTATTGGCCAGAAAACAGCTACTCTGAAGCTGATAGGCAAAGGTTACCCACCACCTCATTGTAGAAAAGGACCAGCATCAGCAGTCACAGGGGAGACAAGCCCTTAAAGGCTGCATGCCACTTGCAACAAAAAATAGGATTTCTGCAATGAAATCCAGCTCTCTTTACTTCCATTTGGCCACACAATGAAGACTTCATCATGTTTAATCATACACTACATAGAATTTAGGCCAAAAATTTGGTCTCTGTCCTGTAATCCTTCTGTTCCACACATCATTGCTATAATTTTAATAATGACAATTTGTCCTGTACTCCTTACCTGGAGCACCTCAGCCTGTACTGTTCCTATTACAATATCAATAAAAGCATGTTTCCTGCTGGTTTACATGTGTGCAGTTGACTTCTGGGAAAATACAACAGGCTACAAAACTTCTGGTAATTTCTCACTTCTCTTTCCTAGAAGTGTACACACAAGAGCATTGTTACATGACTTTCATTACTTCTCTGTGGAAGTAAAATATTTCCCAACCTCTTTCTGTCTGGCTGGATCATGATGCTTTCACTGGCAAAAGGATATGTACAAAGAGAGGCTGATCACTATAAAGAATCTGAGTTGTTATAAGTTCTATCTACTATTCCTTTCCTCTCGTTCTTGAATGTACTGTATACAGGACCTTCTTTCAGGATACATCTGACACTGACTACATAGGTAAACTTGCAATAAATTGCTAGCAAATGTGAGCAACAAGTGGGTCTTTGTACTTACAACCCCTAAGATAATTGTGATGTTTTCTGTAGAACTGTAGTTCATCAAAATAGCCCTCTCAATTCAAGTCATATGTAGGATCAAATGAATAACGCTACTCACATACAATAAAGACACTGTCTATAACTTAAATGCTGAATATTTTATGCAATGTTCATCTAAGGCTTCATTATCCTGATTTACCAGTCTACCCTACCACGTCCTGTCACCTTGAGAAATGCCCTTTTGATGTCTTTGTTTCTCAGACTGTAGACCACAGGGTTGAGCAAGGCTGTGAAAACATTGTAAAACAGTGAGACCTGCTTGTCTCGCTCAGGGGAGTAGCTGGAGTTGGGCCTCATGTAGATGTAAGTAGCAGGAATATAGAAGAGTGTAACCACAGTCAGGTGGGAGGCACAGGTAGAGAAAGCCTTGCAGCGGCCCTGGGTAGACTTGATCTTGAGAATTGCCATGGCAATGTGAATGTAAGAGGCCACAATGAGGGAGATTGGAGTGAAAATCATTAAAACACTCAATACCATATCCACCATCTCAATGAGGTGAGTATCCATGCAAGCCAGGCTACGCACTGAAGGACCTTCACAAAAGTAATGGTTGACCCTGTTGGGCCCACAGTATGGCAGACTCATGGTGAAGAAAGTATGCAATAAAGAGGAAAAGAAACCACAGATCCAAGACCCTGATGCCAACCGTATGCACAGGCCCCTGTTGAGGATGACAGTATAGCGCAGTGGATAGCAAATGGCCACATACCGGTCATAAGCCATCACAACAAAGAAGGTGCACTCAGTCATACCCAGAGCACCAAACACATACATCTGCAGCCAAGCAGCCAGCAAAGGAGATGGTGTGAGAGTGAGCAAGAAGATGCACCAACATCTGGGGCATGGTGGTGGTGACATAGCTCATATCCAACAGGGAGAGGGTACAGAGGAAGAAGTACATGGGAGTGTGCAGCTGTGTGTCCAGGCAGACCAGCATGATGATGAGCCCATTGCCCAGGACTGTGCTCAGGTAGATGAGAAGGAAGACAATGAAGAGGATGCTGTTGGTTGTGGGATCACTGGAGAAGCCAATCAGGATGAACTCAGAAACCCAACTTTGGTTCTGCCCTGGAATCATCCACATGTTGGAGGCTGTAAGAGAATCCATTATTCTATGTGTCACCTGACACATGCCAGTGATAGAGACAGAAAGAAAAGATACAGTCTGAGGACATGCATAAAGGTGAAGCCTTGATGCTCTTCCAGGGGACCATCCAGCTCAAAGCTGTGTCTAACTCTATTCCCAGGGAATATGACTCCTCCTTTCACCTCCACAGGCCAGACACACATGCATGGTGCATGAACATGGATGTAGGCAAATCCCAAATATATATAATAAAAAATAACACTTTTAATAGAAATAAAGGCTAAGATATGGATTCTGAGCTCAGTGGTCAGACCCTGGGCACTCTTCTCAAGTGAACTTCCCAGTGCCTCAGTTTCTTCACCTATCAAATGAGGCTAATGATATTCATGGCTTGGGATCATGCTAAATATCTAATACATCTCTCATAGCTCCTGGAAACACCACACAGCACATGACAGGTCACATGCTGTCTCACACTCTAGATCCATCTGTGGGAAGGCAGAGATGGAGGATGCCCACAGCAACAGGGCTAGTGACATCCACTGAAATGATGAACACTAGATTAAACAGAGAGAATATTCCTCAATGAATAGGGTGAGAACAATTGATGAAGAATCTCATGTCAGTCTCCAAACACACACACACACTCAGGCACTCACATAAGAATGCACTCATACACAACATACACACATGCACGTGCACTCACACAAGCACACATGTTTGCAAACACACACAGGCACAAGCACAAACACTAGACATTGCAAAAAAGAGAGAAAACAAAGAGATTAAGCAAATAAAACCAGTGTCATTCAGACACAGGCTCCCAAACTTACAGTCATATGAGTAATGACAAATGTTCTTTTGTGCAACACACTGGAGAAACTGTAGCCTTCCCAGGGCCTGCTGATGGATCCTGCTGGTATTTAAGCAAAAAAAAAAAATTGTTTTGACACTTTTACTTCCATGGCCCTCTGCCCACGAAAAAAAAAATTAATTATGGGTGTACTGTATATTCAAGGAGTCAATAAAATTTTTATAATCAAATCTGATTAATACACTTATAATTTTAGATTAAGATGAGATAAAATTATTTTTAAAGATCACTTTCTATGCAGGGAAAATCCATGGTACACCAGAAAACAAAAAAGAAGTACTCAAATATGTATATAAAGTCTTAGAAAACGTAACATGAGATGCTCCTGGAGAACAGAGAACACGATTGAAGGCATGTCACAGAGGCAGCTGTCTATTAATCACTGATGAGGGTAAGAGGTTCTCAGCACCATTACTCATCTGGACACTGCAGAAGAACACCACAGAGCCACGCCCACCTCTGCTTCTCAATCTCACATCCCCACACACCTACCAGCATGGCTGCAGTAACACATGTCTAGTATTAACAAGTATGACTAGATACAATGGGGGAGAAAGTTAAGATCCCTTCAGTGTGTGCTTGGCTGTGCTCCCTAAGTTTGAAAACATTAAATGCATTGCCCAGCGATACACATATCAATTATATATGTGTAACTAAATACTTATGTAATTATATATGTAAACACATAGTTGCATATAAACATATGTTCAAGGAAAGGCCTGTAAAGAAAATTTAAATTTCCAAACACTACTCTAAATAGTCTGAAGTAGGTTTCCACTCATATGCTGATGAGCAAGAATCGCTTAAGGTAGGAGTTGCTTATGATGAAAGAGACTTGAAGCCATCCGCAGTCTTCACTTTCACTATGCCCATCCCCTCTCATGACCAGTCCCTGCTCATCACCCTCACAGCCATCCTCTTTCACCCAGGCCAGGGGACCATCCTCTCTTCTGGTAGTTCTCTATTTGTCACCGTGTGACCCTTGCTTCAAAATTTTCCCATTTCAACATAGTCCTTTTTTTTTAATTAAAAACAATTTTAAGGGCTAGAG